CAACAATACATTCATTTACAATGGAGTGGCTGACTGGATTTATGAGGAAGAAATATTTAACAACAACGTGGTATGTTTAGGGGCCCCTCAGTGGCCTGTAGGGTGGGTTGGTCATTCCTCGGCCTTCTTTCGCGAACTCCACTTGACCTTTGTCGTCCTCTTCAGGTTTACTTTTTGGTCTGTTGATACTTGCAGCCCTCACGCTTCTTTTCAGCACTGCTTCATTTTGATTTCGTTTAGAGGTATTGCTTTTCAGGGTCTCTGGTGGTCCAGATCCGGCCGCTATCTGGCCTTCATTAGAATAGATGATCATCGGGTGCCACTAATACAGTATCCCCTCTTCGAGCATCAACAGTATCCGACGATGAACAAAATACCGTACCCGAAAACAGGTGTCAAACACCTGCCCGAAGTAACAGTTCATATTTGGGACAAGAAAACAAGAATAGTACGACAAATGGATATCACCCTTCGAGACAAAAGGTCAGTAATAATAAAAATGAATGGAGTTTTTTACTAACTATTTACCACTACAGCATTTTAACCATTTGAGGACCATCCGTTATGCACAAGTGATTTAAGATGTTCGCCACTGATATCCAAATTGCCTTTTTAGCGCAGCCTGCAATAAACCGGAAAATTTTCAAAAGGTTTTGAAAAAAGGTCAGGATAGTTCTTCCATTCTGGCATAAATTTTTTCAGCTTGGCAACTTATTTGTTCTCAGGCTCCTGGATATCACTATACGGCGAGGATCTCTTCGTTGCCGTATTTGCTAATCGCTATCAAAACATTACATCAATCACGCTTTGTACTTTTGATTCCGGAAAATGCGTCTTGGTGCGGTTACATTTTTCATTTAAAAAAAAAACTGTTATAACCCCACTAAAGATAAAGGTGGAATACAGATCCAAATCTGGCGTTATCCAGATTCTTCGTTTACCCTGTGCGTTTCGGACAATGAAAGAAGTCACTTCGTTGCCACAATCGCTCGCTGTGACAGGCAGAGGCACTCGGAACTAGCGCGAGTAATTGATAGCAAATCCGAAAGCAGCCATCCGCCGAGAAGGCCTTCGTTTCCTCTTTCTTTTCAGGGTTGCTTAAAAGAAAG